AATGCACATGGGTGTGTCCTGGAGTATTCAGTCATTCTGACACACATCACCCCAGTTCAGTAATCCCAACTCCCAACAGCCAACAGCATTGTAGTAAATACCCTTCTGTGCCGGAACTTCTCCAGGCTAGTCTTCCAAATGTTGAATTGCTTAACTGACTGAGCCACGCAGGCACCCCTTCATAGAATTACCAAATTTGCTTTTGTAAAATATAACATTTAATCCACTCTTACAGCCCAGTGTAAGGAAGCAGTGACTTGCCAGCCCTGGATGTTATCTGATTTTTTCATTTTTGCTGATCAGACTTGTGAAACTTGAATCTTACTGTGGTTTTGAGATCACAGTTCTCTGGCCACCACAGGAAATAATCATTTTTTACAGTTTATGGGTGATCTGAATGCCTCTTCTGTAATTTGCCTGCATTTTACTTTTTTCTCTTTGTCTTCTTTTTGTCAATTTATAGAAGCCCTTTGAGTATAAAAGTTAAACTTTTGCCTGCGTTGTGTCTTTTACACATGCACACGTGCACACACACACCTTGAAGAAGTTAGAGACATTGAAGAGGACCCAAAAAAGCTCCAAATAATAAATCAATATCAGCCAAGAAATAATAAAGTCTCTTATGTTCTGAAACAAGATTCCTATGAAGAATAAATCACTTGAGAAAGTCTCAGATCATGGCACCTCCTCTCACCCTCAGAAGGTAAGGTCAACTGCTATGTAGGAATGGAAGGACCAGGACATCAAGATGGAAAGCACTGTACAAACTCAGAACCCAGGAAAAAGAGGACATACTGAAAACCAGCTCCAAACAGGTCAGACATGAAGAAATGGGGGAGCAAATATAGTAATCTTCCCAATGCGAGATTAACAAGATTGTGCTCAAAACAAGGAAGAGAAATTTCTTTCAGTCATATTTTATTCCCACTTCAAAGTGAAACACATGGAGAGAGTGGAAGGAGCACTTTTGAAGACCTGTACCAAATTTACACGTGTGCACACACACCACATTCTTTTTTAGAAGCCACTGATGTACGTAAGCTAGGAAAACAACAGAATAAACCAAGAAACAGCAATATTTGCATCAAGGAAGAAGGGGGGGGGTCATCAGTACAAGAAATAGGTTAAAGGTGGTCTCAATGTGGCAGGCCAGCCTGGACGACAAGCATGAGCTGGAGGTGCCAGGACAGAAACTGACAGGTTCTCTGCTGGGATGAAGCACCTTAGAAAGAATGTCTTTATGCATTTGACAGGTCTAATAGGGCATTTTTAAAAAACAAAAAATAAGGATTGGTATAGTCCTCCCCCCTTAGGGGGAGATATGCTCCAAGACCCCCAGTGGATGCCTGAAACCACAGATATTACCGAATCTTCTTTATACTTTGTTTTTCCTATGCATACATGCCTATGACTAACTTTAATTCATAAATTAGACACAGCAAGAGACTGACAATAACAAATAATAAAATAAAACAGTTATAACAATGTACTATAATAAAAGATATGTGAATATGTTCTCCCTCTCAAAATACCTTACTATACTATACCATACTCACTCTTCTTGTTCTTGTGATGAAGTGAGATGATAAAATACCCATGTGGTGAGATGGACTGAGGTGAATGACATAGACATGTGATGTAGCATTAGGCTACTACTGACCTTCTTGAACCACAATTGACGGGGCAGGAGGTGACTGAAACTGTGGAAAGAGGCACCACAGATAATTGGGGACTACTGTACCCGGACAATGAAGCAAATTTTTAAAGCCAACTTTAAGAATAACAAAAGTAGGACCAGAAAAAAAAAAACCCACAGTATACTGCTATTGCCTCTGCAGTGCATAACATTACATAGCCATAGCCATAGCAAATTATTAATTTTATAACAGACTATTAGTTTTACCCAAATTTTTCTATACCCAAGTGGAGAGATGAGGAGGGGGTGGAGGTTGAGAGAGAGGGAAAATACAGAGAGTGAAACGGGGGTCACGGATAAGGACTAAATCCTTATCTGTCATACAGACTCTCAACAGCTCATGTCAAAAATGTCTCATGGAGTAGTAATAGTATAAGCATATTATTTAGAAATCTTGATCAACTCAGTATTCAACTCATAGTTTGTAAAACGCCTACCATGTGGCAGACACTGTTCTAGGCATTGGGCCATGAGGGTGAGCAAAGCTAGCCCCTGAAGAAGGGGATGTGAGTGCCTCCGTAAAGCTGAGCCAGCAAGTGGACAGGTGTGGTGTGATGGGCTGGTCATTTTTGTCAGTCACATGCTTTTAGTGCAATTTGAATGTTTAATTCTGTCCATGTATTGTTTCTATAAAAACAAGCATTAATAATTGTGTCAGAAACTCTAGGCTGGCTCACTTAACACTCATTCTTACTTGCTTTCTTCCTTACTTCTCTCTTCTACAGGGACAAGAAAAGTAAAATACAGGATTTCCCTCCTCCCGTGCCATTCAAGTGTCTGTGAGACACGGTCAGGTGGGATGTGACAAATGTCCTTGGAAAGGACCGCCCACATCCTGTCCCTGATCCCAGCTTGTGCCTGCAATTCCATTGTTCTCTGTCCACCCGGAGGGACAGGGCGCCTGCCTGGGGTGCCAGAGCAGGATCCCTGACCACGGCATTGAGCTCTGGGCTATTTGCCCAGCCTTTTCTTGACTGGAGTAGAGAAACTCCTTGGTTTAAAAGCACTGGTTGCAGTGTTTTCAAATGATCTAATGCCACATGCAGGTGAAGATGAAGGGAAGACAAGGACAGAGTCCAGGCAGGAACTGAGGTGAGGCCACCAGGTAGATGTGATCCAGCGTGCAGCAGAAGCAGGTTGTTCTGTTCTGTTACCTGCTTTGGACAACAAAGCAAACCCGACCTCACTCTTGCCGATTATGCTTCTGGGAAATCTCTGTTGCTACAGCAACCAAGGGAATTACTCATAGCCTTGCCGGTTGCCAGTTCCTCAGCAGGAATGCTGAGAGGCAGGCGGGCACTCTGAATCTGTTTTTTACCAAGGAACTAGAAAATCTCCAAAGGCAGATTCAGGCTAACTTTGGTGCTTCCTTACCCCACATATAGGAATGGAGACCCCCCCCAGAGGTAGCCCCTTAAGCAGAAGGTGTCCTCAAGACCCTCTTTTTCCCCCTTTCCTCGAGTCCAAAGTAGTCCCCCGTTTTGCCCCAGTCCAGCACAAGATATGGGGTGCATGGTTCCCCACACTAAATTTCCTTTATAGTAACACACATGCATGAAGATGAGTTTTTGTTTTTGCAGAACAAAGTGGACAGGTATGATGAAAAGATGGTGTTTCTCCCAGTCACAGAAGACATTACCCCCATCATGCAAAAGTTCTGAGAGGTTCTGGCCTCTCCCAGGCCCAGTGGGCCGAGACCACATCAACCCCATCTGGCCTAGAAGGGGCATGCCCCTGACAGACCCTGTGAGCCCCCCAAGGCCCACTGGAGCACTGGAGGCACCGTGAAGGTGGGCTAAGATTCTGGCAGGTTTATTCAGCCCCACACAGAACAATGGGGTGGAACGAGATGGTGAGAACATTCCAATTCAATGTGTAATCAAGGAAGATTCTAAAAATATTGGAGAATTAAGGTATTGTTCACTAATTACAGTTGGGATGAAGAGACAGCAATTAAAAGTAATGAATGCATCAAAGTAAACTTACATAATTATCAAATATAAGCGGCCAGATTATGTTCAATACTAGTAACAGAGAATGCCTTCACCAGGTGGGTGCCTGGCTGTTCAATGTCCAAAACAGTGAAAGGGGTTCTCCAATGAGAAGAAGGATTTGAAGGATGTCTTTCAACCAAAGTTCTCTGTAACTTCTTTTATTTATTTATTTATTTATTTATTTATTTATTTATTTAGGTTTATTTATTTTGAGAGAGAGAGAGAGAGAGAGAGAGAGAGAGCGTGCATGTACAAGCACATATGAGTAGGAGAGGGACAGAGAGGAGAGAGAGAGAATCTCAAGCAGGCTCCCCCCTCAGCACTCAGCACAGAGCCCAATGCTGGGCTTGATCTCACAAACCATGAGATCATGACCTGCCCTGAAGTCACGAGTCAGACACTTAATGAACTGAGCCACCCAGGCGACCTTCTGTAACTTCTTTTAAAAGTTAAAATAGGGGCGCCTGGGTGGCGCAGTCAGTTAAGCGTCCGACTTCAGCCAGGTCACGATCTCGCGGTCCGTGAGTTCGAGCCCCGCGTCGGGCTCTGGGCTGATGGCTCAGAGCCTGGAGCCTGTTTCTGATTCTGTGTCTCCCTCTCTCTCTGCCCCTCCCCCTTTCATGCTCTGTCTCTCTCTGTCCCAAAAATAAATAAACGTTGAAAAAAAAAATTAAAAAAAAAAAATAAAGGAAAGTAAAAACAAAGGTCCACACAGAACTGGCCCAGTTCCATGCAGATCAACTCCAAGCTTCTCCTAAGGGCCCCTGAAGGCATGGGGTGCTGTGAGTGCCTAAGAGCTTGCACTCAAACCTGGCCTTCCAGATCATTCTGGAAATATATTTGTCAGAGTAGGAAATAGAAGGTGCTCTGTTAAGCAAGCATCACAATGTTTGCCCATTTGGACGTGGCCTCCTCTTGTTTCTTTGTGAGTGCTGGCAGCATTGCAATCAGGAAAGGCTGTCAACACCTCCCACCTCCCACCTGGGGGCTTCCAGACAGTTGGCTAAGGGTTGGTGGGCAATCCAGACATGAGGGCTCTCCATGTCCCATGAAGCAGCCCTTGATTCCCCTCCCCTGAAAGACAAATCTGAGATGCATTGCTGAACGTTCCATGCGATCAAGCAACCAGAAGCAAGCTTGCTCTGCTGCTTTCTCTCCTTTCTGTCCCCTGCTTGTCTCTCAGTCACATGCCAGTCACATTCCCAATTCAAGGACTCTTGCATGAGCCTGTGTCCAGGACACGACAACAACTCACTTGCTCTGGTTGCCTACACAACCTTAATTTATGTTCCTCTCAGTCCCTTGAGTGTGCTCTCCTACTACCCTTGCCCTCTTTTTCTGTTAAACTCTTAGGTCACAGTGGTCCTCTCTGACCTCTCCCTTTCACAGCACCATGTCCCCTCCCTTTGCAGAGCTGGTCTCAATGCACCCAATTCCCACTCATTAGCTGATTGCCACCACAGTCTGTGCTGGGCAGAGTAATTCACCCCAGGTAGGTCTAGCACAAGCTCACCTTACTCGGGTACTGAGGGCTCCCCACCACCCCCCACATATACTGTTATTTATGGGGTCTTGGAATGCTGAAAGGAATCAGCCAGTTGTATGCAGTCAGGTGGGGAGCTTGACCCCACACAAAGGAGTTACTTGGCTAGAAGGTCTGTGGACAGCATGCTGACCATACCAGTGGATGGCTCAGAGGCTAATGACAGTCTATCTCCTTGGGCTCTTCCTCAGGGCACCCCAGGCATGGTGACTCAGGTACTGTTTGGGAGCAGCCCATCACCTTTGAGAATTTCTCTGGTGAGTATAACTCTACCCTTCTTCTTCACCAACCCCCATGCTATGGAATATTTATTCTGTAGGAAGAGGTAGTGCCTGAGACATTTTGCTACTCTCCAAATATCTATGCACCACCCCCCCCAGACCCCCATTTGCAACTCCCACGTCCCCAAGTCAGCCCCACTCTTCTAGCCAATGGCTGGGAACAGAAACATCACTTGGAGACTGAAGGATTTGAGAGCATGCATGCAACTCTCTAGCTCCCTGTCCCCCAGGAGAGGAGTGATGGAGTCACAGAACACAGCAGTAGGGTCCTGGAGCCATTGCTTCCAAGAGAGCTACCCTGGAGAGGCATGGCAATAGACTGAGGAGAGATGCAGGCAAGAGCAGGTGTTCAGTTGTCCAATAGTATGCACTTGAGGGCATATCAGTTAAAGAGTCTCCATACACAGTCTAGAAATAGATGTTCACCAGCTCACTGTTATATCTCCAGCACCCAACACAGTGCCTGCAGTAGGAAGTGCTCAATAAGTTTTAGAGTGAACTAATTAATAGACCCTTGGATATCTCCCTGGGACCCTAGGGGCACAGGAATCTGTGCCCTCAGGACCTACCTTCCGGGTGGTTTAATTGAAGTCCCCACCTGCACCCAGGCTGGGCCCCCATTTCCAGACCCTGAAAGCAACCACACACCAGAAGGGGAAAGGGGCATTCATAGGCTGCAGAAGGGCCAGGCCAGGCAGGAGAGCCACCCGTGGCAGGCCCTGCTGGCCCAGGAAACAGGAACATGGGTCAGGAAGGGAAGGAAGAAGACACAGGGATTGCAGGCTCTGGTTTCAGTTCCAGATGGGGGCCCCAATGGCCTTTGTTGGAGCAACTAGTATTGCACATACAAAGTCCCACAGCAAACAAACAGGAACATAGGCACCGTGTTCCTGGTCTCACAAGTCCTCTGGCAAGCTGCCTTGTCAGACCAGGTCTGGTTAAGATCACAGACAGACATCTCTCCACTTCTAGGTTTACCGATGAGCTTGATTAAAGCATTTGGTTCCCTGTTGCTGGGGGTTTGGACAAGGAAGGGCTGCTCCCAATTTCCTGTATTTTTAAGTTCCCCATGATAGTTCCATGATAGAAGACACTGTGTGCTTGTGAAATTTTTTGTTGCTCAAAGTGAGTAAGCCCCAGTGAGGTCATCTAATGAAATGCTGCTAATGGAGCATGAATGAGGCTTTGCGATTGGTGCAGGGAGTTTCCTGTAAGGGTTTTTCTGAAGCTTCATGAAATTATTGGTATCTCCACGCTGCAGCAGATGGGCCACTGACTTCAAACAACATTTAAACAAGTGCCCACTGTGTGTTGACTCTGATAAAAAGGCAAGTTTCCATCATTCCTGAAGTTCAAAGTCAGGGAAGGGAGACAGATATGTCAAAATCCATTCTTTCTCCTGATAAGTATGCACTGAGTACCAGCTATGTGTCAGACAGTCAGACTGGGGATACAGCAAAGAACAGTTCTTAAAAATATACCATACTTTCATGGCGCTTACACCTGATGATTGGGAATGGACAACAAACAAACAAACAAACAAAAAACACATGGAGATTACAGGGTATATGAGGTGGGGGAAATTATGTGGAGGAAGAGGAGCACTGATAGGTTGCCTTTTATTTTTTTTTTAATTTTTTTAACGTTTATTTATTTTTGAGACAGAAAGAGACAGAGCATGAATGGGGGAGGGTCAGAGAGAGGGAGACACAGAATCTGAAACAGGCTACAGGCTCTGTCAGCACAGAGCCTGATGCGGGGCTCGAACCCACAGACCGTGAGATCATGACCTGAGCTGAAGTCGGCCGCTTAACCAACTGGGCCACCCAGGTGCCCCGAGAGGTTGCCTTTTAAACAGGGTGGGAGTGGAGGGAAGCTTCATGATAGAGTGATGGCTGAGCAGAGACCTAAGGCAGGTGAGGGAGCAATGTGCTTCTGGGAAAGGGGATGCCCCAGGTGAAAGATACACATGGGGGAAGGGCACATCTATGGGAAGGGCCAACTGAACATAGGCTCTGGGGAAGAAGTATGTCTCATTAGCTTCTGAGTGAACAAGGGTGCACATGGGGTAAATGAGAATCAGGGTGTATCCATGGCCCAGATCACAGAGGGCCGTGGAGCACACATCATCCTTTCTTCATTCATTTATTCATTAATGGCTCTTAGCACCAACTCTGTATGAGGCCCATGGTAGTCAGGGAGGAGTTACCCAGCAAGGAGAACTCATAGTCTCTGGAGACATGGAGCCCAACCACTTTCAGGGCTTTTGTGCTCACTGTCTGCCCCATGTGGTGCTCTTCTCTTGGGCAACCTCCTTGCTTCATCCAGGCACTAACTAGAAGTGATTTCCCCACCCTCTTTTTTTCCATTCCTTCCAGCACTGAGCAGTGCCTGAAATTGTCCTGTTTGTTGACATAACTTTACTCACTTATATGTCCTATCCAAACTCCTTGAGAGTAGGGACCATGTCTTAGAATAGTACTTAGCACACAGTAAATGCTCAGTAAATGGCATGTGAAGCAATGGCATCCTACACTCTGACACTCATCCCTAAGAACCTGTGCCTGTGAGGGCCAGTGTATACACAAGGTTAGCTATGGCTAGACCAAGGAAGCCCCACCACTCCCTCCTTCTCTCCTTCCTTTTTGTTCCACAGGAGAGATGTCCTCCATCTCCCAGGGGCTTCCCAGCTCCCGGGGCTCTAGATCCCATCCTCTCAGAAGCCTCAGGAGCCTCCTTCCTTCATAGTTGACTTTTTTTCCCACTTCACCACCCTCCATTGATTATTGCCCAACACCATGAAGGCATGCTTAAGCTTCTTCCATGACAAAAATTCCTCTTTCACCTTTGTCTTCCTTCCCCTTGTCATACAAACCACTAGAATTTACAGGCCCTTCTCATTATGTAGCTATGGGACAAGATTCATAGAGTCAGCAACCACTAGAGTACTATGCAGGATTTTGTGTGTACTATGCATAGTGGGATCTTCTTCTAGAGAGATTTGCAGCTTTAGTAACAGTCTCACCCCCAAAGGTTAAGAATCTTAGGGTGTTTACTCCATGTTGCTTATGAATGTAATGGTTTATCAAAGAATATCTAAGAATATTTAACAGTTTATTAAAGAACATCCCTTTCTGGAAGAAGGGATGATCAGAGGCACTTGCCAAGCCTTGTGTCAGGAACTCTGCCCTGAAGGCTGCTTGCCTCTTCTTGGGGGGTCATCCACCCAGATCTAGGCTGAGCACCCAGAGAGGGAGAGGGCTCAGCAGGGTCAGCTGTGCTCATGGGAGCTGACACACAGGCCTAATGAGTCCCACACTTGCAGCTGACTTCATGTTTTTCTATAGTTGACACATACTTGAAAGAATTTCTCAATTATAGTCCAATAGGACCAGCTTCCCTACTTTACCATTTTATCTCAACCTCAGCACATACACAGTAAAATTTTAACAGTTCAGAAGAACACTTTTAGTCATTTGGCAGAAGCAGTATGCCTATTTGCAAATTCACTGGAAATTTTCCAATATGCAATCTCTGGTAATGAGCTCATTACAAAACCTCTTGCAGCGTCCCTGGGGAATTGTACCAAAAAAGAGATGTATCCAAGGCATTACTGTTGTTTCTAGATATTTTGTTTTTGCTGCTATGACTGTGAATGGGTTCCTTACTCACTTTATAAAGGGTTACTTGCTAGTATATACAAATGCAACTTATAGTTGTGTTTATCTTGTATCCAGCCACTTTCCTTTATTTTCTTACTATTGCTCCTGAACACTTGCTACCCTTTTTGAGGGAAGACTATACTTCTCCACCCTGTGGACATCAGGTTTTGGTCAATGAATTGGGGGTTTGCTGCTGGATCCTGAGAGGGGAAGCAGTGTGTGCTCTGTGGATTGTCTGGGTTCAGTAGTTCTTTCTTGGGGTTTCTTATGTGGTCATAGTCAGTTGTTGGCTCAGGCTACAAGTCATCTGAAAGTTCAGCTGGGAAGGACACCTAAGATGGCTCTGTCACATAGCTAGAAGTTAATGTTAACTGTCACCTGGAATCTGAGCTGGGGCTCTTGACTGGAACACTCACATATGGCATCTTCATATGGCTTGGGCTTCTCACAGAATAACAGTTCAATTTCATGAGGGAGCATTCTAAGAATGAGTATTCCAAGAGTTAGTGCATTAAGAGAAGCTGAAAGGCCTATCATTGGCCTAGCTTCAGTAGTTCAAGAAAGTTACTTCCAGTCATTAAGGCCAGGCCAGATTCTAGGGATAAGGTAAGAGTCCACCTCTTGGTGTCAGGCACATTGGATGCATGCAGAGGGGAAAGAGTTGATGATGGCCATCTGTACCTCAGACTTTAAGGACCATCCTGTTGTTCTACTGTGTTCATGCCCAGCATATCCCAGATAAGAGTTACTAGAACTCCTTCAACTGATTCATTCAGGCATGCATATTCATTGAATTTATACTGTATATGTAAGCATCTGGCCTTACAACCCAATGCACTCTCTAGCTACACCCAAGTCCAAGGCAAGGAAGGGGTAAAGGAGATATTGCCTATGCTTGTGAGGCAGACAGGCACAGAATTTGTAGTGATCATATTAAAGAATGATGATGATTACTCTATAACACTTATGTAGCACTTACTGTATGCCAAATACTATTTTAAGTACTTTACACATCAACCAACATCATGCTTAATGGAGATGATCAGCATACTCGTTAAATTTAGGAAATAGGAGTTTCAGTGGTCATTTTTATTGTAAATTTTGGCATAATGTAAAGAAATAAAAACAAAATAAAATATTTAGTTATTAGAAGAAATGAACTATTACTATTTTCAGATATATCCACAGAACACCTAAGAGAATAAACTGACAAACTATTACTATTAAGTGATACAGGTTTATGACCTGGGATCAGCCACTCTCAATTCTCCCTTCTGATTCTCTGCAGAGCCTTCTGAAAATGGGGAGGGGGAGGGTTGATTCCCTGCCTTGTCAGCTCAAAAGTGTGCTGTGAAGAGCCAGAGAGAGAGTGGATTTGGGGAATGTAAAGATGTGTCTTTGACACTGAACATTATCAAGTAGTTGCATTAGCTTTAACACTCCTCAGAGAGTGCCTGGGACCAGGAGACACAGGATGAAGGGAGTGGCTCAGTCAGAAGAGAAGATGGGGCTGAGAGGTCTAACATTCGGTGGAAGGACCTTATGGTTGCACTCCCTCTCCACCCCACCCCTTTCTCCTGCATTCCCCATATCCAGTCTCACTTCCAATAACAGCAATTTTGCTTCGGGAAAACACAGGTGCATATTGCATTCCATTATTGTGAGAAAACAGTGAAAACATTTCTTGGCCAAGGGCCCATGGCACAAGCCAACGAAACAGGCTCACCAAGGAATCTGAATCTTGAGCAGGGTAATGCAAAGATGGAAAACAACTGACCCACTGTGTCTCTATTGCTGCTCCCTGAGAAAAGTGTTATCAAGTGGTTTTTTTGTTTTTTTTTTTTTTTTTTGTGGGAACTGCCTTTGTCCTGAGAAATTGATTTTTCATTTTTTGATTCTGTGAGCTACTCAAATTTCTATCTGACTCTTTCTCCAATCAGCCAAATACTGTTTCAGCTGTTAATGGTAGCAACGAGGTAAGACTCCTGGAAAACTGGGGAGTGACACATGCCAGGCCTTGTGGCCCAGAGACACTAAAATATTCCACTGTCTTTACACAACAACCCTATGAAGCAGGGATTGTTGCCCCTGTTTTGCAGATGAAAAAAATGAGGTGCAGAGAAGAAAATGATTAATCAATGTCACAGTGAGTGAATGACAAATAGAAAACTGCAATCTAGGTCTGAGCCAGGGTTCTGTAGATACTGCCTCATGTACTCAAGAGCCACCAGCTCACCAGATCTCCAGGCCACCAAGAGAAGGCAGGTGTTTGTTCACCAACTAGATTTTCTCTGCTGGTTCAGGCCTTCCCCATTCCCTGTTGGGCCCCTCTACCCAACCCTGGTCCAGGGTCTGAGCTGTAGAGAGGCCTTGGAAGGCCCTCGGGCATCTGGTTCTCATAAAATGTTGGCCAGGTCTTATTTTTGAAATAATTTTATCATTCGGCATTTTGACAAAAAACCCAATTTGGCCATGGTTTCATTTTCATACATTTCTCCTTTCTGATTGTAATCTTTCCTAAACTGTCAAGATTCCCAAGGCATGGTTTCCTACTTAGAAGTCAGACTTTTAAGCCACCACCCCTCTCACCTCCCCACTAGAGGACTCAAGTACACAATTTGGCTCTTTGTTAATAATTAGTCAGTTAGGCCAGAGACGTTTCCAAGAGAGGCCAAAGTGCTTGTTGGCCACATTGGAAAATGAGCTGCTGAAGAATTCTAAGGGCTATCCTGCCCAGGAGGAGGGCACAAGCCAGGAGGATGTCCCCCTCAGTGGATGCGGGCCCAATGGAGACCAAAAGGCTGAGCAGTACCAGCCACTGAGGGGAGCCCTGGGATCTGGGCCCAGTCCCTCCCCTCCTGGCCTCAGAGGGGCGGCCCATCATGCCAGACTTGGTCTGAGCCCCAGCTGCACTATTGCCTAGTGGGGAGATCTGCCGTGTTATTTCACTTTGTATTTCACTTTGCTGAGCATCCTTTCTCATCTGTCAGGTGATTTACCTTTATGGGTTTCTCTAACCCAACTCACTTGGTTTTTGTGGCATATTGGTATACTATATGTACAATAATTTAAAATGTTCTTTATTTTTTTTTAATTTTTTATGTTTTTATTTTATTTTTGAGAGAGAAAGACTGAACACAAGCAGGGGAGAGGCAGAGAGAGAGGGAGACACAGAATCTGAAGCAGGCTCCAGGCTGTGAGCTGTCAGCACAGAACCCAACATGGGGCTCAAAGTCAAGAACTTCGAGATCATGACCTGAGCCGAAGTTGGATGCTTAACCAATTAAGCCACCCAGGCACCCCTTAAAAATGTTCTTTAAATTAAATTATATCTTTGTTTAAATATATTTTCACAAAGTATGTGTATGTCATCACTGAAAACGTAAAATCACTATCAAATACCAAAAATAGAAGATACCTGAAAATAATAACACAACTGTAAAATAACAAATGTAATATAATATATAATTTAATTTTCCCTAACACCAGCTTGGGTAGCACCAGTGATATGCAGACCTGGTTTTGGAAATACTGCTCTAAGGTGTGTGTGATATGACCTTAAATGCCGCCAGCCTGGATGTCCCTGACTCTTCTAATTATCAAGGATCTCTCTTTCATTAATTTAAAAAACATGCAGCCTGAATCCCCATTCCATGCATTAGGGCAAGACTCTTCCTACACTCTCTGCCTTACCCTTACTAATACTTTTGTTGCTCTCCAGAACACTTCTGTTTTCCCAAGACTGTGTGAGTTACCTGCTTTCTTGACGGTGACTGGCTCCTGACAATCTAGGTTCCAACAAGGCCCAAGTTTATATCCCAAAGCTCTCTTCTGAGCTGCAGATTCCTACATCCAACCACATACTTGGCAATTCCACTTGGATATCTTATAGACACTTCAGTTAGTATACTGAAAACAGAACTCTTGATCTCTTCCATAAACCTGCTTTTCCCCAATCTTTCCTGTCATGCCGGAGTTATTCCTCAGACTCTCATGTTCCCACAGTCCTGTTCATGGCTATATCCCCCTGCACAGTGCGTGGCCTGGCATAGAGTCGGTTCTTGTATTGGCCAGCTGAAGCTGTTTTGCTGCAGTAAAAAATGACTCCAAATCCTAGTAACTTAGGACAACAAAGGTTTATTCCTCAATTGTATTTATGTCATTCTCAGCTTAGCTGGGTCTCTGTTCTATGTCACCTTGGCTCCAGCATCAAGGCTAAAGTGGCAGCCCCTACCAGGCCATGCCAGGCTGATGGCAGAGAAGAAAGCCATAATGAAATTACATAATGGCATTAAAGCTTCTGCTACTACTTGCATCTCACTGATTAAGATTAGGGCTGGGAAGCATAACCCTCCCTTGTGAAAATAATGCAGTCTACCACAGGGCTTGATCAATATTTATTGAATGTGGACATAATGAATAGCCTTAACCATGGGTCTAGGACCTGGATTTCACGTGCAACTAGAAAATGGGCTTCACACTCAGGTTGCAGGTACATATTTGGGACACAGAGCTTACCTACCAGCTTAGGATATTAACCTGTCATGTGGGCCTGGAGTCCTGGCTTCAACACAAGCCTGGGACAAAATTCTCAGTCTCAGCTTTAAGGCAAAGAACAGTGCAGGAAGTAGACCGTCCTTCCTTCTGTGATCATCACTAATCTGAGATCATGTATCTTCCTGATGTCCATTACCCCCTTCTTGTTGGCACAGTCCCTCTAATGTCATCATTTGTCCCATGGAGAAGACCCCTGAGTAAGCTCTGGACTTCTCTGATGCTCTGCCTCAAGCCACGAACCTTCCAGAAGCCATTGGGAAAGGCCAAGTGCCCATCCTGACTGACCCTGGGAGCCTACTCTGGTTCCATTCTCAGATGGAGGCCTGGCAGCCAGAAGTCACTTTGTCTCCCTTCCATGTCCTTGCTCAGGCTCACTGGTACTCTGCGCTAATCCTCCTTCATGTCCAGAGAGCCCCAGGTCTGTAGTCCTGTGGGCAGGTCCACCTCCTGAACTCATTTAGCCCACCTCTCTCAACACTGGCCTGGGCCTCTGGCTCACAGCCCAGCTCCCAGACTCCAATCCATGAGGCTTTGGGGGCAACACACCAGGCCAAGGGCCCATCACATCTTTGGGCTCACTGCCTAAGACTTTCAGAAGATCCTCACGGCTCCTGGGGGTCAACAGGACTGGAGGAATCACTCTGAGCCTTCTATGGCTTGGTCCTTGGGAACCAGAGGCTCACACTGGGTCCTATCAAAGGGGCCATCCATGGAAGTGGGTCAGGCTATGTCAAATCTTCCCTAAACTGGAGTTTTATGCAGGTGGAGACAGACAGAATAGGAAAACTTAGAAATCAGGATCACATGACTTACAGTCCTGGCAACATCCCAGATAGCTGGGGCTGGTACATAGCCACATGGGCCTTGGGAGTCAGTGTGGGATTAGCTCTGGATGATAAAAGCTGGAAAGACTCCTACAGACATGTCTGCATTGGTGCAAAATGTCACACATGCACGCCAACATCCTATCAACCGGGTTCTGGTTAAAAAGATGCTGGAGCACAGCAAAGCTCTCAGAAAGAAAAAAAAAAGTTCCCCATGCATGCATAGGGGGAGACTTCTAGAATATGCTACTAAATTTTTTTTAAGTGAGGCAAAGAACAATGAGAAAGGTACAGAATAAACTATATATTCTATATGCTTGCATTTCACATAGTCATAAACTTGCACTAGATATACAGAGAGCTCATCAAGTGCCTACAGAGGGCACAGAAGAGCAGGGTAGACCCAGATAGAAGAGCAAATTTTTAGCAGTAAACTTTTTTTATCATTTAGATTTTTGAACCATGTAAACATATTATCTGATCCAAAATGAATTAACCAGAAAAAGCGAGGGTGCACAGAGTCACCCCCAGCACAGACCAGGAATCTTTGAATCCACAGGCACCTGCCATCACCCCTGACCCCAGCTTTCCTCCCACACCTCTGGGGCTTCACAGAGCCACCCAGCTTTCCAGGATGGAGTCACACTTTGGTCTGAGATTGTGAGGCCTTACAGCAGGACTTGGCCGTGTTGCCTTGTCTAATTTGTATGGTAAGAGGATCCTGCTGTCTTGGCAAAAGGCCTGCTCATGGCCACCCTACCAGAGAAAGAAAGGACAGCAAGCTTTGTCCTGCTGCAAATGGGGACACAGAAGCCCGGAAACCTGGGATTGGCTCCAGGGAGGAGTTCAGCCAGTGCCCCCAGTTGCCACTCCCACCCGCCTGCCAGAGCCCAGATTATTACCCTGTACCAGGGTAGGTCTCCACTCTCCCATCAGTCAAGGGTGGCCTGAGGGACCAGAGTGCTGCCCCCTCCTCCCAACCACATCCCTGTCCTCTCCCAGCCCTGTCTTTCCTGTGCTGGACACACTTCTTCACCACATCGTCCTCACTCTGAGCTTCACTCTCTCCTCTCTTTCCTGTCTGCCTGTAGACAATACAGCTCATGGTTCCAGAGAGGCCTCCAGAACTGCAGCCAAAAGCATTTTGTCCAGAACTCAAAAGGGCTGTCTCCCAGGATGTGGTCCTTCCTGCCCAGTAACTCCAGGGTCTAAGGACAACTGGAGGGGAGAACTGCCTTTGTGGTTCTTGGAAAGACTCCATCTGCTCTGGGCCCCCCACCAGTACTTGCATAATTAGAGGACATGAAGGGACTAGCAGGCTTATCTTTGTGAGGTACCATCTCCCACTCTGAGGCCTTCCCCGGGCACAGACCTTTTTCTTTTTTTCACTTTTTTTTTTTATTTTTTTTTTCAACGTTTTATTTATTTTTGGGACAGAGACAGAGCATGAACGGGGGAGGGGCAGAGAGAGAGGGAGACACAGAATTGGAAACAGGCTCCAGGCTCTGAGCCATCAGCCCAGAGCCTGACGCGGGGCTCGAACTCACGGACCGCGAGATCGTGACCTGGCTGAAGTCGGACGCCCAACCGACTGCGCCACCCAGGCGCCCCACTTTTTTTCACTTTTTGGCACGCAATATGCACACAGAAAACGAACATCCCTTAAGTGGATGGGTCTTACATGAACATTCCCACATAACCATCACTCAGATCAACAAATCAAACATTACAAGCTCCCAGAGCCCTCCTGGTCTCCCACCCACCTCCAAGGAAAAACCCTTTCCTGATTTCTGGCATTACAGGTTCATTTTGCCTGCTTTGGGACTCTATGTCCCATGTGCAATCACATGGCAGATAATCCTGTGTGTCTGGCTTCTTCCATGCAACATCAGGTGAGCAATCTATGCCGCCCATTCTCACCACTGTATAGTATTCCACTGGGTAAATAAGCCAGTTTATTTACCCACTTAAACCATTGAGGGGCACCTGCCAGGGGCTATTGGGGATAGCACTGGTATAAGCATTCCAGTGTCTGCTTTTCAGTGAATATATTCCCACACTTCTCTTGAGTGCATTTCTAGGAGTGGAATTGCTGCTTTCTGGAACTTAGGGGAAAAGTCTTGTTGTGACTCTGAAGCTGAAGGAAGCAGATGGACTATCCACATTCATGATCCCAGGCAGGTATATATGGGAAAAGGCACAGAAGAGCAGCCGCACAGAGATGGAGGCCAGACACTGTGCCCTAAAGGGAAGCATCCCCTTGTTGACCACAGGTATGGCCACAAAACCCAGTGGGTTAGGAAGGAGGGCAACAAAGGGTTTTTAGCCCCTTGCCCCCAAGGTCCACATGGACCTTCCTGACTCCTCCCTGTGGGAGAAGGAGTTACTGATTTGATGGATTTAAGCCTGAGCCATTGATCAGCCCTTAATTATTGCAGACAAGACCCAATGCTACCTCTGCATTGATTTCCTGCCTCCTGCTTTACAGGGCTCAGCAGGCCCAGCAGAACCTGGGTCCTCTAGGCAAGGTGGTCTCAGTCTCCCTCCTTTCCATTTCCATTTTCTCTCCACCAAGAGAACAGAGAGCCCTGTTGTGGTGACAGTTTGACACACACTCAGCTATGAATAAAGGAAATGAAAGTCTATTTGCTGCTAGTCCCATTGGGTGTCCCCTAGAGCTGAGGATAATGGACAAGGAGGCCTTGGCTAAGTATGTTTGCTGGGCTATAATATTGTCAAAATAACTCAAACCACTAAACATTAAATAAAATGTCAA